GTGTACACAGGCGCAGGCGGGCCCCCCTGCCGCCGCGCGCCCGGCGGCCCGCCGCCACCGCCACTGCCGGTGGCGCGCCGCGCGCCCTCGGGCACAGCCGCAGCCCTTGGCGCGACGGCGGGGGTCGCGCCAGGCAAGGGCGCAAGGTACACGCCCGTGCCGCGCGGCGCCCGCACGACGCGCACGTCCCCAGAGTGCCCGCCAGCCCCACAGTGCTGCGCGGCGCCGGCCTCCGGGCCGACCTGGTGGGAAGGCGCCGCGCCGGGCGCGTGCTGATGCTGCTGGGGGGCAGCTGCAGCGGGGAATGCTCCATGAAAGGCGGCGTGGCCCCCAGAGTTCCCTGTGCGTGAAGCGGCGCCCGCCGCGGCGCGTGCGCCGCCGCTCTCGCCGCCATCGGCTTGCGCAGGCTGGCGATGCTGCACCGCCGGTTGGGGCGAGGTGAAGCTTCCCATTTGCTGCTGCTGGTGCTGCTGTTGCTGGTGCTGCTGTTGCTGGTCTGGTCCGTTGAAGCCGGGCATACAGCCGCCATCAAGCCCCGCCGCGCCGCCACATGTCGCCAGATTTGACTGCACGTCTGGGGTGCCGCCGGCTTTGTCGTCAACCCCCTGTTCAACACAGCTTGCGAGGCGTCCGCCGGGCGCCGCCGGCCGCGGCCGCGCCGACGCGGCCGCCGCAGCCGCCACCGCCCGCACGGCCCGCGCCGCGACCCCACTGCTGCCGCCTCGGCCCTCGTTCCAGCCGGGCTTGGGGTAGCCGCGCGTGATGTCGTGCTTGGTCACCGGCTCGTACGTCGAGCCGTCCGTCAGAAGCGCAGTCAACGCCGCAAGTGGCTTGTAAAACTTGAGTGCGGGCAGCCCTGTGGGTGGGATTGCGTGAAAGCGCGAGTTACAGCGCGCCGGCACGGCTGCGACTGCCCCGCATCGGTCGTGCACTCACACACGAGCACGCGCTCTGGGGCGCGCCCTGAGCCGCAAGCGCGGTGGGCGCGGCGCGTGGGAGGCCTGCCCCTCACTCTGCGGGTTGTAGTCTGCAGCCAGCATCCCGCACAGAAGCACCGCATCACAATCTGGAGGGTGCGCCACGCCCGCGCCACCGCGGCCGCCGCCGTTCCTAGACGTCCCCACAATGCCCTTCGGCGGCTGCCCGCGCAGCAGCCACGCCGCCATCTGCTGGGCTCGGAACGGTCCAACCCTGTCGCCGCCTGGCAGCAGGGCGCGCCACCACAGCTCGGCGCCGCCGCCCAGCAGCAGCCGCTCGAGCGCCGCGCGCCGCTCGTCGGCGGCGGGCTCGTAAGCGGGGCCGGCGGTGGTGGCGGCGCACTCGGCGGCCTGGTCGGGTGCGGGCAGCACGTCGACGCCCGCCCTGCGGGGCGCCGCCTGGCGCTGCAGGGATCGTTGTGGCTGCTGGTGGTAGTTTCGCTGCTGCTGCTGGCTTCGCTGCTGCTGCTGCTGCTGCTGCTGCTGCACCTCCGCCACCCCAGCCCCTGGCCCAACCGACGCGCCCTCTGCGCCGTCGCCCGCGCCCGCGCCTGCGCGCGCCATAGCCAGCAGCTCCCCCAGCGGACGGAAGCCGCCGGCGCCGCTGGGCGTTGCGGCGGCGCTGCCATCGGCGGCGGGGGGCGGCGCCGCATGGACGAGGAGGCCGTCTGGGAGCGCGCCGCTTTGGTACCACTTGAGCATGGAGGGCGCGTCAAAGGGGCCCTGCAGGACACCAACCAGGTCCTGGTAGTACCAGAGCGGCCACTGCTCCCGCGAGGGCATCCCCGCGGTGAACAGGGCGACCTGGGGTCATCAGGGCGGGGCGGAGTAGGCATGCAGGGAGCACGTGCAGGTGAAGGGCGCGGGCACAGGTGCCGCGGGGTCGAGGTAGGGGTGGCCCCCGGCGGGGGCGGCGACACACGCAAGTGTCTTTAAGGTTTGGCAACGAGCGCGGCGGGCGCATGCAGGCCGTGAGATGCGGCCGCCGCGCTTGCATGATTGCAGTTGCCCCAGCAGGTAATCACGCGGCTTGCCGGTTGCGCCGCTCTGGCATCGAGGGCGGGGCAGGACGCTCACCTCCGCCGACTGCTGCTCCAGCGATTGCAGGTCCATGGGTGACTGTTGTGCAGCGCTTGGCCGGCTCCCCCGCCCGAATCCGGAATCCTCAGCTCGACACACACCGCAAGCGGTCCCTCTCTCGCGTCGAAGCCAGGTGAATTACTGACACGGGCTAAGCATACTTTTCTGGTGCAGGGCCAGTACGTGGTGTGGGTGGCCCACCAGATTGATCTCGCGCAATGTCTGTCCGTCTCTCCGCGTCTTTAACCACGGTGCTGACAATACGCTGCATCCAGCGTTTGACAAGAACACGAGCTGCGCTGTTGCGTGCGCCCGGCATGTGCGCCGCCCCGTCGCGGTCACCTCATCGACTCAAATCATTCCCAAGTTCACGCTCGCACTGCCGTTCGCCCAGCTCACAGCCTGCGGGCCAAAACTCCCGGCCGCATCCTGCGCAGCTAATAGACTCCGTCGCCCCGCCGGGCTTGTCACAGCATGCCTCCGTGGCCCGGCGGGGCAGCACCTGCTAGCAGCTGTGCGGCCGGCGGACAAGTTGGGCCAACTGTACGACGTGCCAATGCCAGGGTGCTCACAACCGCTGGAGGGCGCAAAACTTACAAAAGATGCTACGCAATCCCACAGGCTGCAGCTTCCAGGCAACCAAATGGTATGGCACACCACGCGATCACCCTTGATGAGTGGGGCGGCAGCCTGCAACCCAGCCCTCCTTACACACGCAGAGGCAAGGCAGCGGCAGGGCCGCGTCACTGTTGAGGGAGCTACAATGGCACCCTGCGCCACCTCGCCGCGGCCACCGCGCACCAACCGTGCGGGGCGGGCGGCTGCGCCCGAGGCGGCTCCGGCTCAGGGCGCGCGGGGGCGGGGTGCGCGCGCCGGCCGCCGCTTGGCTTGCACGCCCGGCACGCTGGGGCGCGCACACGAGTGCGCAGAGGCGCAGCAGGCCTGCGCTTGATAACTGGACTAAATGCTGCGGTCGAGCCCACATGGGCTCGGCCTTGGCCGGTCCTGCGCATGTGCAAGGAAGGCAAGGAGTGCAGATGCGGCGCCACCTGCAACGGCCCCGTCTGCGCGGCCGGCAAGATTGTGTGGTACGAGCGCCCGTGCGCGAGAGTGCTTATGAGGTCGCTGCCCTGCCAAACGCCATGGGGCGGCGCCCGCGCTGACGCGGCGGGCGCAGCTTGCGTCAGATGTGTTGCGTGAAACGACGGAGCGCACGGCGCCCAAAGAAAGCATGCGGCCATGACAAGCAAAGGCGTCAAAAGGCCGGCTCTGGCGGCCATGCAGGTGCCAAATGTGCTGTAGGTGAGGACCTGCCTAAGCCATGTGCCTTGGCCTGCTGCGCGCATGAGTGCTGCCAATGTGATGTGGCATCTAATAAAGCCTGATCCGGCAAACACCATGAGAAACACACATCAGGAATTTGAGCGTCGCGTGGTCGCGGCTGGTGCCCTTTCCCAAGAACGCCTTTGGTTTTGGGACTGAGGGCGCCGGTCATGCGCACGACCAACCCCCCGGCAGTAAGTACAGAACAACAGTCCACAGGCTGATACACTATTTTGCTGCTGCTGCTGCTGCTGCTGCTGCCGCCGCCGCCGCCGCCACTGCTGATGTTGATGCAGTGAGAACGGCCAAACGCACGGCCAGCACGACGCATGTGAAGGGGTCCTTGGATGGGACCATGGGCTTGGTTGATCGTGTTTGGTGTCCTAGGGGCCACCCGGGCACAGCGCAAGAGGCGCCTGGGGCCCATCGCCACGCGCGCTGTTGCAGCGGCGGCCGTTTGTTGTTGTTGAGCCTCACAATACAGCCAGCCTAACCCATATCCTGCCGGGCGGCAAGTGCCGCGTCGAGCGGCCCTCCATGCAGGCCACGGGGAACGCGGCTCTGATGATATTTCTGTCAAAAGGCGGCCGCTTGCTGTGGCAGTCGGCGTTGGGCCCGGCCCGCGGCCCTGTTGCCCTCAAGCCGCCAGCACTAGGGGCGGCCGCACCGAGTACCAATGCGGTGCCCGGCGCCCCCCATCGTCCGCCGCCGCCGCGGCCGCGCCGCGGCCGGCGGCGGGGGCAAAGGCGCGCTCCTTCGCGGTGCCTGGCGCGGGGGCGTCCTCCCAGCCGTTCTCAGCAAAGTAGTCGTTGTATGCGGTGAGCCACGCAGTGGGCAGCGTGGCCAGCGACTGGACAGTGGCCTTGACGCCGCGCTGCTGCCACTGGGCGTAGCGGCCCGGGACGTCTGAGTACCAAAACTGCGAATGGAGCGGGGTTCATGCGCGAGGGTCCACATTTCAAGATTGGATCCGTGGGTGGGGCCGAGGGTGGGAAGGGCACCTCAGCTGTTGCGGATCGCGCACGGCGTCGCCGGGAAGTGCGGCGCGCACACGCGCGATTGAGGGTGCGGACGGCCCCGGCGCGGGCGCTTGTCACATATGTGCGCGGGTGGGCGGGTATCCACCTGGTTGCCGGTCAGCTTGTGCTCCTGGGGGATCACGTGGAAGTACCTGATGTGAAATTCGAATATAGAGGGGGAGGGGAAGCAGCGTGAGGGGTTGAGCGACTCGCTGCAAAGAGCAGCGCCCCGGTCATGGCCATAGAGGGCGTGTGTGAGCATTTTTGTGCAGGCGCCCGCCCGCCTCTCAGGCCGACTGCTTCAGTGTTGAACGAGGCTGTGGTTCCCACCCCAGGGGTGGCTGATTCCCGCTGGTATGCATGCACGTGCATACGGGGGTGAGGCATAGGACGACAACATCATACACGAGCGCGCGCGCGCGCACACACACACACACACACACACACACACACACAAAATGCATGTATGCAGGACGCAAGCTCACAAGTACCCAGTGCAACCTTGCGTGCACACACACACACACTCTTGAACATACTACGGTACATACACGCGTTCCACGCACACGACATGCAGTCACGCACGCTCTTGCCCCCACCGACCCACCCGCAGAACGAAGTGTAGATCCCGCGCGCCGCGGCGTCCTTCTCAATGTCGCGAATCTTGGTGCCATTGCGCAGCGTGTTGCGAACCAGCGTGTCCCCAGCCTGCGGCGCCACGTCACACCAGGACCAGGCGTCAGCAAAGCGGCGGGCACCAGGCGACGAAGCCGCGGGCCGGCGCGCGGGCGTGCGAAACCGCAAGCACTGCGGCCGCGGCCGGGCTGTGAATCTGGCATGCTGCGATTGCATCCGGGGGCGATCTTGGAAGCGGTGCGCTCCATGCAAGGCCAGCCCCGCACCTTGTACGAC